GGGTCATCATCAATCGTCCTGATCAGCTCTCCCCACGCAGTAGATTTGGCTTTGTTTATTTCTCGCCTGAGCGAGCGTCTAGCCGTGTTGTACGCCGATCGAAGTTCCTCGACAGTTTCGCGGGGCCTTTTCCTCTCTTTAGCATGCGTCCATGCTCTGCGTGCCTGTAGTGAAGCTTTTCCTTGCCTCGTTGATCTCGGAGTTCCACCAATACATCTGTTCCTTAGGTGGGCGGGGGCCTGTTCTCGGGTAGCTGCGTCGCAGGCCTTATATACCGTGCGTTTGAGCCATTTCGCGTATTTGGTGGCGGATATGTTTCTTCCGATGGGGCCGTTTCTGCGTTCCACACCAGAGATGCTGAAACAGATCCACATCGAGCTTCTTCCAGTTCCACTTCGGATACTTAGTTTGGGTCTTGTTTCTCCTATTCAGTCCAGCGCCTGTCCGACCAACATACATGGAGATGTATTCATGATCCGACAGCGACTCGATTTCCGACATCACACGCCAATTATGTATACGGGTTACAATATCGCTTGTAACCCAGGACAGATCGATGATAGAGCTCCCCTGGGGTCGCACGCATGTGGGAGCATTGCCTGTGTTGGTCAAACACAGGTTATACTCCGCGGCCCATTCCTCTACGTACTCTCCTCGCTGATCCGTACGTGTTGACTCCCATAATCTAGACTTTGAGTTAAAGTCTCCGCATATTATTGTCCTGCCGGGTAGGTTTATCAGGGCAACTCCGATCTCGTCTAGGAAGGTCTGGAAATCCTGGATTGGGACGTTGGGGGAGATGTAGCACGAGATGACGTTGTACTCTCCCATCGTGGCCACCACAAAGTCTCTTGCCCTGTATACAAGTCTGCAAGCCTGGATGCTTCCGCCTGGACACCATCGAATCGCAGCAAGTTTATTGGTACTGCTGTGCCAATAAGGATTATCCGGGATGGTCCTTGGTTCCGTAACAGCACAGATTGTCGCTCGAAGTTCTAGGGTGTGCTGCTCAAATAGATGCTGGGCTTGCCAGCAGTTCGCCAAGTTGCATTTTCCGTGATCATTTCTTCTTCGGCCTTCCGACCCGGTTTTCCTCTCTTAACTGTGATGAAGTCTGCCTTACATTGCGTGGAGCCTACACGATGACGCGAGTCCTTGCCCTGTTCCTTGCATAGCACACACGCCGGTGGATTAACACAAGCCAACGCAGAGTGGCCTTCTTCTCCGCACCTGTAGCAGTTCTTGCTCCTATCGTTAGGTGACGTGCAGTTAGCTTTTAGATGTCCATGACCCCAGCAGCGGAAGCATTGAAGAGGCCTGGCCTTCAGCAACTCAATCTTCGCGATTGTCCATCCTACCTTTATTTTCCCCGTTTGGGAAGCCTTGATGGCCGCACCTAGGGGACATTGGGCCCAGGCTGTGAATAGACCGTTGGTCATTGGTCTGATCGCGCCCACTTTCACTCATCCGGTTTACAGCCGCCCTCTACGCTTACGATGTCCGCAATTTCTGCTGGAACTACGGAGTCGTCCAGGCCAATGAGACGGACATCTCCCTTGATGACCGGTCTAGTCACCACTGCTGCTTCGCCCAAGGTATTGCAGACTTGCTTCCTCAGTTCTTCCGCTTTGGTTGCTCTATCCGGGCCTGGGACCTCGATAATAACGCCTCCATTGGCAGTGTGCCTCACCGATGTCTTACTTATGCCTAGCTCAGGCAGCGAGATCTTTTCTCTTAACTCCCGAAGTGCGGTAGCATACGAGAAACCTTCCTTTACACCCTTAATAGCGACCGCCGGGGTGCGGGGAGGGCAACGTCTTTTCTTTCCAGAGGGGGGGTTAACCTTAGCAGGATTGTCCTTTGCAATTGGTTGTTTCCTCGCTTTTTCCTTGGGTTCCCCTTTATTGGGGTGCTTCTCATCTTGTTGTATGGCTGCCTTGCGCTGTTTCTTCCTCTGATTTTTGGAGATCACCGCCGTCCATTCCATCTTTTCTTCATCCCTCTGCGGAGCAGTTGCTGTTGGAGGTAATGGAGGAAACTCTACTGAACTCAGGGGGAGAGTTATTTGGACATTCCCGATCACTCGAGGGATCCCTCGTGATGGACTCGGTGCTCGGGATGTGTTCTGATTTCCCCTTGATGCCTGTCGGAGTTCTCTCCTTCTGGAAGTAAGTTCAACTATTTGCCGAGATAGTTCAGCATCCAGATTGCTATCATGTGCTTGCAGCGACCGCAATCTACTCTTCTCTACTGCTGGAATGGGTTTTGAGATACCTTGGAGCGGTGGTCTCATAATCATTTCTGCAGCTGTTGGATTGGTTTGAGCGCTATCCTCTACTTCACTTTTATGTCGGGATTGAGATCTCGGTGCCTTCTTCTTCTGGGTAGCTTCCATCGGGGAAGTAGCCTTGTCGACACGTTGGATATCGAAACGTTAACGCATTAGTTAAGTCTTGGACCTTCCTCTTAAGGTCCTCGATATCTCTCTTCATTTTGGCAGACTCTCGTTTTGTGGTTGTGAGTTCTGCCAGTAATTCTGCATTTCGCCTTCTTAAATAGGCAGGATCACCAGTATCTTCTAGCTTCTCCGCTAGAAGTCTAATCGTCTCCTTGACGATTTCCACCCTTCGACGAATCTGCCCGCTCAATGCACCCTGATAACTACTGCGTACTCTGATGGTGTCTATATCCTCCAGCCACTCAACAGCCGCCACGCTAGCATCATTGACCGTCATAATACCCATCTCCTCCGCCGTGTGAAGCGGGCGGAGGAGTTGATCGATCGTGGGCTCATCGGATCTGCGTTTGCGGGCTACCTTCTTTGTTGGAGGCTTCTTCGAGCTTGTCTCAGTGTCTACTTCCAAGCACGACTGAGTCAGTTGCTTCGAATCAGTCGTTACCATCACTTGACTTGGCTGAGATAACTGAGGCTGAGGCTGAGGTTGTTGTTGTTGCCTATCTTCCGCCTGAGATCTCGTTTTCCTTATGGAAGTCTTTTCATTATCTGTGACAATGCACTTAGATTTACTCTTCCGAGACTTCCTCCGTACTTGCGGTGTAGGGTCTTCTTCCTCTGTGCTCACATCACCAACAAGTCTACGCTTTCCAAGTAAGGCATTGGAAAAATCCATAAGATTAGCAGCAGATGAAGATGCTGTCGCAGATGTTCCTTCTATTGCCACCTCGTTTAATTTAGAGGTATCCTTCTTCAATGTTGATGGGATTTCGGTTTCTGGTTGAATATCCCATCCCGTACCTTCCTTTGGCCACTGTACGGAGAATAAACTCGTTTGGCTGTCCTCGTCCAAAGCCAATGATTCCGACATCAAAGTCGCATTAGACGTCTCCTTCGGGACAGGTGAGGGACTGACCCTCCAATCCTCCAAGATTGCCGCAATGCTTTGGCTGTTCTGTGAAATGGTACGTTCAGCCACTTCTCTTCCTATTTGATCGGCTAGGTTATTCAGAACCTTTTCGCCAAAGTTCCTCTCAAAGGTTCGGTGGAATTCTTGATTGGGCGATTCCACCCTTTCATGATCCCCCTCCTGTTCCGTTGCCTGTGATGCATTTGTGCCCTGTACACTTGCAGTCACTTCCGTCATATCCCGAATATTCGCCGGTCTTGTTTCCTCCTCATCACGCCTCTCAGCACTAGTTGCCGATGGCACCCCCTGTTTTTTTGTACCTTGTTCGTTTTTATTTATTTGATCAGTCATTTCTGTTCAATCCCGTTGTTCGCAAGGGCTCCATTGACCGGCGTATCTCCCTCCCGCCGAGGGACAACCCGAAACATGACCGGCATCGCCCCCCGACGGGGCTCTCGGTACTCCAAGAGAGTCAACTTATATCTCGGGCGGGGGGGATACCGCACCCCCGCCACAGGATTCCGGCCCCTTACTTGCCTAAGCTTTCGGGGGTCTCTCGCCTCCGACCACGAGAGCACCCTTGCGAATGGCGCCACCCAGGGGGCCCCACGGACGGTTGGGGTAAGGACGCCGCTCCCCGTCCACACCTTGCCCGCCGTGGCGACCAGCACGTCCCCCATCGGAGTGTCCGGTGGAGGAGACATCACCTCTCCCGGTCGGCCGGTTCGGAACGGGAAACGGTCCCGACCGGCCGGGAGTATCTACTCTCGTCGCTGAGCCCCGCCCCGGAATAAGTCCAGGCGGCCTCAGCGGCAGGCCCGCGCAGCACCCTCCGGGCAATGCCCCTCGGGTGATTGCGCATGGCTCCGCACCCGACCCGAGCTCGGAATATGTCCGAGTGGCCCGGGTGCGGGAACCATCCAGAGACGCTGGGACGGAGGCCCAGGCTACTCAGCCTGGGAGTCCCGAACAGCAGTGTTGTTAGACTGGCCCGCTTTTCTCGCGCATGCGCGGCCATGTCGTCTGCTAGGCTAGTATTAACAGGCACGTATCTAGACGACTGTCTGCAGAGGAGTGATATGGGCGCGAAAGTTTTGGCTCAACGTACAACGGAGGATTACAACTTTTATTTTTTATTGTTTATTATCTACGACGCAATATTTATTTTCTTTTAAATTTAAATATTAAATAAAAATTTAATTTTCATATTTATAAAATAATTTTACTTTGTATTTTAATAAATGTACCTTTGTTTTTGAATACTGGTAAGGTTTTTGTCAGTTTCCCTACCCTTGCAACAAATGTTGGTATTCCATAATTTTCCTGCCAAATAAAATTTTTTAGTTTGTTATATATCTTGTTTAAAGTTATTTTATATCCCTCCGTCTTGTTTATCTTTTATTTATAAAAATTTACAAAATTATAAAATTATAAACTTAGAACGTTATACGGGTGATTAACGGTACACCTTTTTACATATGGAGTTACTTCACTGATACTACGTTCGCCGCGCATGCGCGAGAAAAGCGGGCCCGTCTAACAACACTGCCGAACAGCGCTCTCCGGATCCTCTTTGTCTCCGGGCCCCGCCTCGGAATATGTCCGAGCGGCCCCTGAGACCAACCGACACAGCCCCCTCCGGGCAAAGCCCCTTGGGACAACCCTCCGGGCAAAGCCCCTCGGGTGACTGTGTCGGTCCCTCCGCCGGCGTGACCCCCTCCGGGCAATGCCCCTCGGGAAACCTTCCGGGCAAAGCCCCTCGGGTGATCACGCGCGGCTCGCACACCTCCCCACCTCGGCGGCCCCCACCGCCAAAAGAACCCACCCCAGACCCCGGGGGAGACTCCCCCAGAAAACCCCAGAAAAATCCCCCCCAGAGCAAAAGGCGAGAACCCCGGGCGGCAGAAGCCGCCTACCCGGTAGGCTTACCGGGCCACAGAGCATGGTGGGAGGGGAAGCGCCGAAGCGCCGTGCAATCCCCTCTCCTAACGGTGCCATGCCACCGGGCGTTTGAATTCCGGGTCGCCATCCCTTACCACATACAAGCCGAAGCTCTAACGGGGAAGTGGGCCCCGTCTCTCCGGGGGGTGGAGTTCTTCCACCGCCCGAAGAGAGCCCCCACAAACGAAGGGCGTGCCCCCCAGGCCGGGGGCAGTGTACCTCGTAAGGTACTGGTCGCTGTTGGCACCCCTTGCAAGACTATCTTCTTGCAAAGGGTGAGCCCTTCGCCACGGCAAGGCCGCGACCCACGAAGGGGAATTTATCTACTATCTATAGCCACCGCATTTTTAGGATATGTTCTTCCCTAAGGCCAAATATCTTTTTGAGGTGCAACTGTAATTACAAATTTAGTATCTATTATTCCCTATAATGGTAATTTAATAGTTCAATAAATTTTAGGGGGATTTTCTATTAATAATGCTACTTTAAATCGATTTTATTCCCTTTATTTTATTCTTCCATTTATCATTATAATAATAGTATTAATTCATTTAATTTTTCTTCATCTAACAGGCTCATCAAATCCATTAGGGACAAATATAAATTTAAATAAAATTCCTTTCCATATTTACTTTACCTCAAAAGATATTTACGGATTTATATTTTTTATTTTTATATTTTTTTATTAATTTAGAAACACCTTATATTTTTAGTGACCCCGACAATTTCCTTCCAGCTAATCCTATAGTAACTCGAATTTATATTCAACCTGAATGATATTTTTTATTTGCATACGCCATTCCCCGATCCATTCCAAATAAATTAGGAGGAATAATTGCATTGTTATCATCAATTATTATCTTATATTTTTTATCTTTAATTTCCATAAAATTTATTTTATTATTATTTTATCCCTTAAATCAATATTTATTTTGAATTTTTATAAATATTTTTATTTTTTTAACATGAGCAGGAGCTGAAGAAATTGAAATACCTTTTACCCTTATTAGTCAAATTTTATCATTTTGTTACTTTCTTTACTTCATTTTATTATCTTTTATAATAAAAATTTAAGATTTATTAATTTTTTAAAAATAAATTAATTAAAATTTATCTCCCGTCTCTTCTTAAAT